GTTCTGTGCATTCCCTCATGTAAAAGGGAGCTTCCATCTATGTGCCAGGCATAGCCAGCCCCAGGCAATGTGCCCTCCTGGATGTGTGAGGAATGGGGCAGTAGTTCTTCTAGGGTTTCAATGCAAGAATGAGATGAGGAGTGGTCAGTGTTTGGTCAAGGAAGGAGATTTGAGATACTGAGGTTGGAGAATACTGGAGAGTAAGTGTGGCATCTTCTACACTCTCCAGTGCCAACTGGAGAGAAAGAACACAGGCAGGAGGTAGAGTTGTTAAACCTTTATAATTTAGGAGATAGGACAGGTTGTGGGGAGAGAAGAGAGTGGTAGGTCACCCAAAAGATATTTTTTTTATTCATACATGAGGAGATCATCAGCTTCTAAAGCTTGTAGGCAAGTGTCCATCCTGGGTAGTTAGGTCTAGTTTTTTTGGTTGGTGTTTTTTTGTTTTTTTGACAGGTATGATACAGGTGCTAAGGAAGTCTCAGCTGGTGGCCTAGAACTCCAAGGGCATATCGCTGTTTTTCTGTTACATAGAGGAAGGAAGGACCAGTTAGGTATGAGAGATGAAGGGCTGCAGCTTGGGGTGAGGGGTTGGCTGTTGAAGCTTCTGAAAGGGCTTAGTAATGGGATCCAGGTGGAGTTCATTGTAGGGCTAAGGGCTGCCACATATAAGGGTTAAGCAAGGGGGGTAAAAGAGGGGATCCAGGAATGTCAGAAAGAAGCCAGCTAATTCTAGAAATGATAAAATTTCCTCTTTAGTAGAGGGGATTACAAGAGACTAGATTAGGTGTTTCCTATATAAAGTAATGGCTTTATGGATTGGGGTAATGCTTAGTAAGTGACCTAAGAAGTGGACAGTTGGACCTTGGAAGGTGAGACTCCATAGCCCTAGTTGGGCAACAAATTTAGAAGATCAGGGGTGTTAATTTGGCTAATTTGTAGGGACAGGCTATGAAGGAGAATGTCACCTACATATACGTGTTTAGATTTGGAGAGAGACAAAGAGGGTTAGTAGGTCAGAAGCTAGGGCCTGGTCAAATATGCATGGGCTGTTGAAACCCCTGGGGTAGGACAGTCCAGGTAAACTGTGTGGAGACAGGAGTGTCAGAGTAGTCCAGGTGAAGTCAAAGATATTTTGAGACTGAACGCTGAGAAGGATAGAGAATAAACCATTCTTGAGATCCAGAACTGAGAAATAAGAGGTCCCTGAATGTATAGTTGAAAGGAGAGCTTAGGGATTACGTACAACAGGATAGAGGGAGAACACTGCAGAAAGAATGAGGAAGTTAATTGGCTTTGTGTGGATCTAAAAAGTAAACATGCCTGTGTGTATTATATTAGTATATATTGACTGTCATAAGAACTGAGAGTTTTGAGACCCTAACTTTATCGATGATGATATCAAATAATTGCAACCTGGGGTCTAAAGTTGTTCTTGAGGATCAAGGTACATTTGTTCCTATCACAGAGGACAGTCAGAACTTGTGAATTCTATCCTCATGATTGTCATTAGAACAGCAATCCCTCAGCCACCTCTCACCAGTCCTACTAGCAGAACTAGGGTCCCAGACACTCTAGAAAATCACAGCTGTGGCCCTGGAAGACCCTCATCTACTCCCCATACTCAGGACCCTTCTGCTGAATTCACTGCATCTCAGGCATCAACCCAGGAGTCAGTTCCCTGCCTGAAGGGCCTGTGTTCCAAGTTTCATCCCAGAGGCCAGGACTGGATACTTTGCTGCTGAAATACCACATGGAGAGTGAGTCTGTGGGCAGTGTGTGAGGTACCCTCCTGGCCAGAAGGTTAAGTTAGCATGGAGGCTGAAAGGGATCAGCAGAATAGACCAGAGAGACGTGTAAGCCCTGCACACAGGTAGAAATGAGAGGACCAGGGCACCTCCACTGAGATCAGGGGATGTGAGGAAGCTGAGCTCACATCTCCTCTCTTGGATAAAGGATTGTTGCCTTGTCCTGTTTTTGAGGGACTCTAGCATTTGCTGGGAAATGGGCTCCTTGCCTGAGGCAGGTAGTCTGTTCCACAGACACACATACAGGAAGATCCCCATCCCATGCTTCAGACACCTGACTTACCTCCCATGCCCCCTTTTTAAGGGTTCTGCTCCTAGGACTCCTTAACAAGAGTTTGAGAATCTCCAATGTGCATTATCTCTGGGATCCAGAGAAGCACACTAGAGTGCTCCAGCCTGAGGGGCACCACTCGAGCTTACACCCCGATATGCTACAGTCACCAAGGAACCTAGAACAATAGGGTCAGGGGAGAGCAAAGAACAGACAGCAAGACAGGTTTCTTATCAAGCTGCAATTTTTATTTTTCACAGGGACCCTATATAGGGGTGCCAAGCGAGGATCTTGGCAGACAGGGAGAGGTCATTTGAGGCCATTTGCCTGATAACCAGACTGAGGAATGTCCCTGTGCATGAGTCCTTGAAGGAAACTGGGGAGTGCAGGATGCTTGGTTAGGTCAGACAGTGCAGGTGTTAGTCAAAAGACAAAAGGCTTGTTAGATTAAAGAATGTGGAAGGGAGTTGCTAGGAAATCTGACCATGAAATGTATCTTTTTTCTATAAACTACTTCTGTGAGCCCAAATGCTATGTATCAAGAGGAAAGGATTAAAGGCAGCTATTCTTTTAACATAATGGGTTATTCTTAAATTGCTGGCAGTCTTCTGCCCAAGTGTCTTACAGGTGCAAGGTTACTTTTGCCATGGCTCCCAACACTAGAGAAAATGCTGGACTGTGCTTTAGGAACCAAATGCAGTCTGTCTTATGAGCATTCTATGGGAACTGGAGCAAAATCTCTGTCCTCAGGCATTGCATAAAGTGTCTAAAATGTCAATGATGTCAGTTAAACAGAGAATACAATTGGTTTCGTCTAAATCATTCCTCTTGCTCTCTATGCTGTGACCCTCTCTGTAGACAGCTGTTAACACAGGATTCCCTTACTTAATTTTGAACAGTTTCCAGTTCAATTGAATGTGATTGGATGACCAGAAGTCCAATGCTTATGCTTTAGTGACAGCTATAAAATACTCTAGGGATTCAAGAAGTTTATCACCAGGTGTTGTCCTATTTGTATATTCCACATAACTTTTCTCAAATCAACATACTTTCTGTATGAAATTCAAATACATAGTTGAGAGTTTTGAAAAATGGAAGTAGCATAGTACAGCTTTGTGCATCCCTTATATTAATTTTTAAAATTATTTATTTATTATATTTTAATGGCTTCCTCTAGAGACATGATCTCAGGATGCATCTCAGGTGGATCATAATCTTGCATATCTCCAGTCGACAGAGCCTACTCCTGCCTGCTGGTATTACTGACATATTAGAGCCCAAGGTCTGTCACTAACCAGGCTTGAACTCTGCCAATTTGGTGAGACTACAACAAAGATCCACTTTTGGACAATGACAGAAACACTCCGTACTTATGTCAGCGAATGTGGACAATAGAAGACATTGGCAGCAGAGTCAAACACAGAACTGAGAACAAAAGTAATTCCTGTAGAATAAGGAATCAAACCATATCTTGATGGAACATCAGACTAAAGCCTGTGGAGAATGACTGCCAACATGATAGAACAACACAGGCACTGGACAGACTCTAGAAATGACTGAGAACTTTCGGTCACATGTCCCTGAGAGCAGGATTAGAAAGAACAGGGATTAGGAGATAGCATGATGACACAGGTACGAAGGGAATAGGTAAAATCCCAGGGTGGGAGGAGTAACAATTGTCCACACACAGGCTCCACTAGGAACCACACAGCCTTCAACTCTCATGAAGGCAATGGAGTTAGCTAAGCAGAGAATATTCTAAAAGATTATGAAGTTTTATTCTTTTCCAACAAGTTTACTCATCTTTAGTACACTTATTAAATATCCACTCTGTAAGAATTTCCATAAACATAAAAAAATCTTAATTTCAAGGGACATGCATTAAATTGTAGCTCAATGAAAACTAATCTATCAGGGATGGAGGTTTGCCCGCCCTGCCTTTGTTGGAACAGCAATGGTGACTGGGGAAGGATGGGACTTTTTGCTGCTCAGGGCAGGGCAACCCTCATCACCTGGTTACACTGTACTCACAGGAGACAGACACATAGTAACAGTCAGATGCAGGAAAGGAAGTCATCAGTTCTTTAGGCCACAGTGGGAAAAGAGAAAGCAGAATGAATCCTGTTAGGCTCAGTCCAGCTGTCTTATCCTGTAGAAGAGAGAACAAGGTATAAATTCAGATCAGTGTCTCAAAAGGTGACTTTATAAACATCTCATCACACACTCAAACTGTACCATTCCCAGGAATGACCTCTCCCTGTTACAGACACTGCCCTTTAGGGTATCACTTTTTAAAACTAAAACAACACTGGCAATACAAAAAAACAAAAAACAAAAAACAAAACTGTACCTCCCAGTGGTAAGTGATACAATAGGAGATCAGCCTCTAGAGATGGAACTGAATGAGGAGGTGTGTGCTGGCTGAGAACGTCCAGGGCAACCTATCATTATGCCACAGCTCTCTCAGGGATGAGCCCTGACTGTAAGGACAGGCAAGCCTAAACATAGATGCTTTATCATCTTTTGCCCCTGAGAATAATCTCTTGTATTAACACTTATGGATGCATGAAGATCTAAAAGGCCTAGAGGAATCTAATGGTTCTTATCTCATGGAAGTTTCCAGAAATGTGACTGCAGATCCAGATAAGGATTAGGAAACTTGATGGAAGACTGCACATGAAGAGGACTAACTGGACTCCTGGTTACCTGTTCTCAGTAGGAACCTTTTCATATGACCTCTGAGAGCTGAGGAGCATCTCTCTGTCACCTCTGTCATTGCAGTGATGAATCTGTATATTATTTCCTTTATGCTTCACAATGGGGTTAATGTCAGCTCATCAGCACAGGAGAGAATAAGCCACTGTGTGGATGAAACTTTGCTCTCATGAGGCAGGGCACAGTCTCAGCTGGGATTGATATTCTCAGAGAGACAGGAACTCAGACCCTGCATTTTCCTTACCTTTATTCCTCCTCTTCCATATCAGAAAAGTCACCACAGCTCCCATAAGCACAGCTCCAAGAACCAGGCCAATAACAATTGGCATGATGGGGACAGAGGGCTTAGGAGTCTCTGACAGAAGAATAGAAAGAACAGTGAGGCCTCTGACCTCTACCTGTCAGTTATGACCCTGCAACAGTTCTCCTGAGTACTCCCACTCTCACTGTGAGATACTCTGTGCTCACTCCTACTGCTTACCCCATCTCAGGGTGAGGGGCTCAGGCAGCCCCTCATGGTTCACATGGCATGTGTATCTCTGCTCCTCCCCAGGAGGCACCACCACAGCTGCCCACTTCTGGAAGGTTCCATCTCCTGCTGGCCTGGTCTCTATCACCTCCATGTCCAGATTCTGGTTGCTCCCATCTCTCTGCCAGGTCAGGGTGATCTCAGCATGGTAGATATCCAGGGCCCAGCACCTTAGAGTGATATTCCCATCAGCTCTGACCTTATGGGTCACATGTAATTTTGGGATGTCTGAGGGAATAAATTGAAACTTTCAGGTATTTTTTTTTATTCTTTGTAAAGATCTGTCAATGTTCATTTAACCTTGTTTTGAATAGATGGGACAGTTTGCTAGAAGAAGAGATACACTTTAGCCTAAACCCAGGATAAAGGTGGGGTAATCTACTCCAAGGAAAGTTTCAGAATCAGTGTGAGTCAGCACAGAGCAGAAGACTCAGGATCTCCCTCTAGGAATATGGACTTCTGGTTCTCACTTGATGGAGACTGAGACTCAGCAACTCTGGGTCAGATCACAAATGTACATGGACAGTGTACAGGCCTCATTGAGGTCAGATTGAAAACGCAAATGGAAGGGAACTGCTGCTTAACTGGCAGACTGAAGTTCCCAGAGAGAAGACTTCTGTCTCTGGAGAGTCCCTCTCTGTTGTTGAGTTAGCAAACCCATGACACCCTTCCCCTTTCATGCAAGACCAAGTTAGTGTTCCAGCTTCCCCTGCAGAGGAAGAATCCTCAGGGGATAGGGGCTCCAGTAGTGGAGCCGGTGTGGCGGTTGCTTTTCTTACCTGTTCTCATCAAGAACGCCTTCTCATAGTGCAGCTCCTTGAGGAGGTAGTGCACACATCCATTCATTAGGTAAGGCGTCACAGATTTTGCAAACGCTGTATTCTCCCACTCTTCCATCAGGATCTCAGCTGCCTTGCCAAATGCAGTCCAAGTGTTCAGGTCCTCATTCAAGGCAATGTAATCATGGCCATCGAAGATTAATTTACATTGTCCATGACTGAACTTTCCTCCAGGCAGCACATCACAGGCAATCAGGATCTGCACCGTGTGATAACCTGTCCAAGCCCCTGCTCTCAGTCACTCTAAAGGGGCCAGGTTTTTAGGGCCCCCCTGGGGCTCAGTCCCTCCCCCTTGACCTTTATAAGTGGCAGCATTTGAGTTTAAATTGTGTAGAAAACTGTGTCAATGTCCCAAGGCTCTCTACATCCTAGTCTATATGGGTCTCATTTTGCTGGGGCAAAAAAAAGATAGGGGGAAATGGAGCAAACCCATTGGGAGCTTGAAATGGGGGATTTCTGATTCAGGGTCACTCACCAGTTTCACTTTGATTGTACAGGTGAAGCACTTTCTTCAGTAAATCATTGTAGATGTCAATTAGTGCCAGAATGTCCCGTGTCACGTTATCCCAGTATTGTGGCTGGTGCTCATCCACCCAAGGAGCACAGTGCTCCAGCCTCCGAGTCTGTGCTATGGTGTTGAATCTCTGAATATGAATGTCATCCAAGTAGACACCAAGGATGAAGTGGGGCTCCAGGAGGTCAGGCCAGGTGAGGAGAGTTTGCAAAAAGCTCAGGGAGTGTGAACCTAAGTGCAGTGGGCATTTAGATATACACCTCCCACCTAGTGTCCTATGCTGCTGCCCACAGTCCTCCCAGGAGGGCAGGGAACTGGAGACAGGGGACAGGATGTAAAATGAATAAGGTCCTAGAAGCTTCTGGCTGTGCTAGGAGAAAGGCAGACTCCTGTAATCCAATCCCAGAGTTGGAATCTACTTTTATCCCTCCTGACACCCACACTCACCCTCTGGATGCCTGGTCATTGTGACATTGGACAGGATCAGCAGGACGAGAGCCTTGGGAACAAAGGTCTTCATCCTTCTTGAAGACAGGACACTGAGTCTCTACTTGTGTGTATTCAGTTTATAATCTTGATATGGAAATGGCTGATTGGCTTCTCTAAGAATTCCCAGTGGTAGTGAGAGAGGGTATTGTCATTGGGTCATGGAAAAATGAACTCCTCAAAGGGGAATCTCCAGGGCACTGCTTTCCCAGCTCAGACCCAGCTCTGGGACCTGGGATTATAGCAGCAGTGTACAGGGACAAATTGGTTATCCTGGGCATTGTCAACCTCATCCTGATCAAAATATCCTTCTGAGTCCAGCCCAGAGGCCATTCAGTCAGAATTTTCTGATGGGGGATGTCGTTTTGTATGCTGTGAATATGTGTTTCTCTTATTGGTTGATGAATAACGCTGTTTCAACCAATGGACAGACAGGGTATTGCCAGGCAGTAAGATGCCATGTAGTTGCCAGTAAATTACAACATCCAGGCATTCTCCAGTAAGCTAAGACCCCATGGAGATACATTGATTAATAGTTATGGGTTAATTAATAAGTGAGAGGCAGCCAATAAGAAGTCTGAGCTATCAGCCAAAGAGTTTATAATTAATGATTTTTCTCTGTTTTTTTTTTTTGTGACTAAACAGCTGCAAGACTGGGCAGGGCAGAAACTTCCCTCCACAATCCTCACACTGAGATATCAGGATGTCATCAGAGTCTTAGAAATGCATTGGACATCAGAGGTACTTATGCTTGTGTGGATTATGTCAATCCTTGTTCACTATGTTAGGAACTGAGAATTTTATTCATGTGCCTTATTGATCATTAATGATAAGGTGCTTGTAAGCAAAATGTTTACAAAAATACAGTAATGTGGTGAAAATAATACATCTTCTCACTAGACGGTCTTAGATTCTGATTCTCCTTTCCAACACTTTAGTGTTATGTGCAGTATAGGAAAAGCATGTTCACAAAAATGTACACAGTTGATATTTTAAGATTTATTTTTATATTTTATTTACGCGTATATTTGGTTGTATATATGTGTGTGTGAAGGTTGGAAGTACAGCAGAGACTCTTAGAAACCCTGGAATAGGAGGGACAGGAGGTCGTGGACTTAAACACTTCAAGGACTCCAAATGTGGTTAACTACACAGTTTAGCCTTCTCTCCAGCCACAGTGGAGAGTGTTTTTATTAACATCTTCAAATCATTTTAGTCATTTCTTTTCTTTTTGATTCCTGGAACTGTCTTCTTGACAACATCTTTCTGAGTCCTAGCCCAGATGCTGATCTGTCTGACAGGATCAAGGAAGGAGAGAAAAGCAAAGACTTATGTCTCTCACTGAAGTGTGCAGCTCTGGTCCCTGATCTGGAACTCCCATGGCCTCACAGTTATGCCATTGTTCTTTCCTGACAGGCCCAGTCCACCTGCAATAAGCCTTGTCTTTCTGGTCATCTTATCTCACAGGAGCCTGGTGGAGGCAAGGAAATTAGGATGGGAGTTGGCTGCTGTGTCAGTGGTCATATAGTTCATGTCCCAAGAGAGCACAGAGGAGAAGAGACAGGAGCTGAGAGGATAATGTGCTTCTGACAGGACTGTGAGGATTCCCAGCTCAGACATCAGCACAACATCTCCATATGACACCAGGCAGATGCCTCAACCGAACCCCAAGCCAAAGTATCTAGCACAGTTCTCTGGACTCCCCTATGGGACCTTCTAAACACATGATATTCTCCAACTTGGGAGTGTATTGGCCACCATTTCATATCTCAGAGACTAAGGACCCTGACATCATTCCTAATTCCATTTCGTTGGGAGCTATACAGAGGTGGTCTCTCATTGTCTCATCTGCACCCACACAGCCATCATTACTCAGTTCTGATCTTAATTTGGTGCAATTCAGACACATGTTGCAGAAAATTGGCCAAAGCCTTCAACAGACCCAATGCGTTCCCTTTCTGGTGCACTGCTGCCCTCTACTGGCAACGCTTCAGGGTCAGCTGGCAAAATATAGTTAGGGAATCAAGCCCATTTTTGTAGCTAAGATGCAGAAAAATCGTTTCTCACACAATGGGGGCAACCTTCTAGCCAATTGGAACCAGGAGAGAGATCACACACCTATAAATGTGACGGCATTAGTACTCTGAGATACTAATCAAGTACTTTTCTCTTTTTCTTTGTAACCAGTATATTAAAAAGACATTCACACATTTCTGAGATGGTTTGAATTCTGACATCCAGACTTAAGGACATGAACATATGGTGACTTTAAGCATTCATTACGACTATTCATCGCAATTGGAAATTATATCAATGTCACATTGAGATGACTTTGGAGCATAAATGAAATGGTTTAAAACCAGCTTACAACATGCATAAAGAACACTTTATACATGTATGTTACTTTTCCATGTGCAGGTCTTTTCTCTGTGGCAGATACTAAACAGGCCTTTTCATGCTGAGATGGACTAGAAGACTCCATCTCTCTCTCTGGACATGGGGCAGGTGTTGAGCATGGCTAAAACCCTGCTAAACTCTGATGTCACTGTTAATATTAATGAGTTCTAGGAGTCAAGAGATGGCCCAGTGGTTAAGAGCACAGGCTGCTCATCCAGAGGTGGTGAGCTTAATTCCCAGCAACCACATGGTGGCTCCCAACCATCTATAATGAGGTCTGACACCCTCTTCTGTCCTGCAGACATTCATGCAGGCAGAACACTGTATACATAGAAAATAAATAAATCTAAATATATGAATGAGTCTTATATATTTATATTGTGAGCCCTCTTTCTGATGTTAGTTTTCCTGTAATAAACAGACACTCGAGATGGGACAATTTGACTAACTACTAATCTGAGATTGGACTCCCCTTTGCTGTTGGAGGAACCTTGAGTAAAGCCACTGTTTCCAGACAATGTGATAAAACAACTTAACAAAAAACAATTTAGACACTCTGGCTCAGGGAACATTTCAGAAGGGGAAAGTTTTTAGGAAAGTTAGTGGCTATATCCATAAAGCCCCACCCACATGACTGCCCTAAGATGAGCTGAACAAGGACAATACCAATAGACATCTCCAAGCAAATAGAAAAAGGTGCCCGTGTCCTCAACCCTACACAAAGAACTGCAGACACCTAAGGAAAGCACACCAACTGGTTATCCAATACCACATAGCCAGCCTTGAAAACACACATACAAGTTACATTATACAGACGTGGTGGTTTGAATAGGAATGGCCCCATAGGCTCATTGTTTGAATGCTTGGCCCATAGCGAGTGACACTATTAGGAGTTGTGATCTTGTTGGAGGAAGTGTGTCACTGTGGAGGAGGCAGGCTTTGAGGTCTTATATGCTCAAGTTATAACCAGGGTGGCTCACAGTCTACAACTTCTGCCTGATGGTCATGATGTGGAACTCTCAACACCTTTTCCAGAATCGTGTCTGCCTACACTCTATGCTTTCCATCATTATAATAATGGAATAAAATTCTGAAGGTGCTGGGCCCTGGAATTCTGCCCTGCTGAGATCACCCGAACCTGCCAGAGGGATGGGAGCAACCAGAATCTGGACATGGAGGTGATATAGGCCAGGCCTGCAGGAGACAGAATCTTCCAGAAGTGGGCAGCTGTGGTGGTGACTACTGGGAGGAGCAGAGCTACACATGCCATGTGGATCATGGAGAATTACCTGAGCCCCTCACCTGAGGCGGGGTAAGGACTGGAAGTGAGCACAGAGCCTATTACAGTGAGAGTCGGAGTCCTTGGGAGAACTGTTGCAGGGTCATGACTGACAGCTGGAGGTCAGAGTCCTCACTGTTCCTTCCATTCTTCTGTCAGAGCCTCCTCATCCCTCTGTCCCCATCATGCCAATTGTTACTGTCTCCCTGTGAATATGAAGCCCAGCTGAGAGTGTGCCCTGCCACATGAGAGCAAAGTTTCATGCACACAGTGACTTATTCTGTCTTGGGAAGCATAAAGGGAACAATGAGCAGATTCATCACTGCAATGATAGAGGTGGCAGAGACCTGATCCTCAGCTCCCAGAGGTCAGATGGAAAGTTTCCTACTGAGAACAGATAACCAGGAGTCCAGTTAGTCCTCTTCATGTGCAATCTTCCATCATGTTTCCTCATCCTTCTCTGGATCTCCATTCACAGTTCTGGAAACTTCCCTGAGATAAAGATCAGGAGACTTCTATAGATCCCATTGACCCTGCATCCTAAATGACCATCTGACTGGAGGTTTATCTCCATTGACGGTGTCAGAGTGTTAATATAACCAAATCTTCTAAGGCAAAGAAGGATATTTTAAAAGGGGTCAGCTATTTTTAAGGAATAATTAGGCCAGAAGGAATAGATCTTCTATGGATGTTCACCTGGCAAATAGTTTTATCTTTCCCACAAAAGTGGGTGAATATTCTGTCTTTTTACCAGTTTTTAAAATCTGAAATGCTAAGAAAATGCAGTGTAATGTAAATATGTATGTTTCATCGTCTGATGGCCATATCATAGATATTCCTTGACCAAGGTACCATAGCTTTGAGACAGTGAAATAAACACCTCTGTTGACAGAAACAGGGGATACCCAGAGACAATGACTCCAGACTCATCCTCAGTATCACACACAGGTCCCATTCCCTGTAGATCCGGGGAACAAAAGCAGACAAGTCAGGGATGCCCCCCTCCTCAGGATGGAGGACAGCAGGACAGACGGCCGCAGTCCACTAGAATCTCCCAGTTACACTTTCCAATGTCAGAAACAGCTGTGTGAGATAGGAAGTGATGACCAGACATCTCTAAAAAATATAAGCAACTGAAAGAGGGAAACTTTACAGACCAGAAGGAGGAAAGACCCTGGTTTCCTAAAGGAGAATTCGGGTGTTTATAGAGGACCCCGTCCTGGGAGAAGGAGATGCCAGAGCTCTGTTGAAGTCAGTCCCAGTATATCTCCAATGATTTTTTGCAGATTTTTTAAAATTTGAATTAGAAACAAGACTGTTTTACATGACAATCCCAGTTCCCTTCTCCCTCCTGTCCTCCCCTACCACACTCCCCGCCAACTAAAACCCTACCTATCACATATCCTTTCTGTTCCACCTGGATGGTGAGGCCTTCCATAGAGTGTCATCAGAGTCTATTGTATCCTTTGGGATAGGGCCTAGGCCCATCCCCGTGTCTCTTGGCTCAGGAAGTATGAGCCAAGTATGAGCCACTACGTGGAATGGGCTCGCAAAGTCCATATCTATGCTAGGGAGAATTACTGAACTACTACAGGAGGTCCTGTAGATTTCTGAGATTTCCTCACAGAAATCCATGTTCCTGGGATCTGAATCAGTCCCATGCTGGTATCCAAGCTATCAGTCTGGGGCGAAAGAGTTCCCCAGTGTTCAGGTCAGCTATTTCTGTGGGTTTTACCAGCCTGGTCTGGACCCCTTTGCTCTTCACTCATCCTTCTCTGCATCCTAATTCCAGTTCAATTCAGTGAACTACTTCCACCAGCTGCTGGATGAGGGCTATCGGGTGGCATATAAGTCAGCCACCAATCTCATCATCAGGGGAGGGCATTTAAGGTAGCCTCTCCTCTGTTGCTTAGATTGTTAGCTGGGGTCATCTTTGTAGATCACCAGACATTTCTCTGGTGCCTGATTTCTCTGTAAACCTAAAATGTCTCCCTCTATTATGGTATCTCCATTCTTGTTATCTTCCTTTCTTCACCTAACTCAAACTTTCTGCTCCCTCATGTCCTCTGCATCCCTCCTCTACTCCCCTTCTCATTCTCCTAGCTCCCTCTCCCCTCTTCCCGTGCTCAGCAATGTGGGAGTGAGACCTTCACAGTCATGCTGCGTGAACAGTGAACAGGTCTGGGAGAGGCCATGGTTCACAATAGGAATGAAAGGGAACTGCTGTTTATTGGACAGAATGAACTGTCCTGACAGAAGTGTGAGCCTTGCAAGAGCCCCTCTCTTATGCTGAATCAGGAGCACTCTTGCACCTGTGTTGCAAGGCAGAGTCCTTATCCCAGCTGCTGTCTGCTGAGGAGAACTCCTCAGGGGACAGGAGCTACAGTCTCAGAGAAGATGGACCAGTTCCTTTCCTTACCTGTTCTCAGCAGAATCTCCTTCCCTTTCTCAAGGTGTTTTTTGAGACTATCCACGCAGGTGTCCTCTAGGTATGTCTTCAAGAATTCTGCTGAACCCCATATCTTCCACTGGTACCTGATGATTCTTGCTGCCATGCCACCTGCTGTCCAGGTGTTCAGATCCTCGTTCAGGGCAATGTAAGTCGCTGTCATAGATTAATTCATAGTATCTGCCACCAAAGTACCCTGCAGGCAGCACCGTACATCTGGACTGTGTGATATCCTGGCCAAGTCCCCACTCTTAGTCACGCCCACAGACCAGACCCCTTGGTAGGCCCCTCCATTTGGTGGGCCCAGCGATTTGACTTTTCTAATTGGCTAGATTTGGACTTAAGCTACACTGAAATCCAGGTCAGTGTCCTATGGCTCTCTGGAGTCTATACTCCAGGGGCCACATTTTCTGAGGGCGAACCTCAGACATGGTGACCAGGATCAAACCCATGGGGACCTTGAATGTTGGGATTTCTGATTGGAGTTCACTCACCGGTTTTCCTCTAGTTGTAAATGTGGAGCACTGCTTTCAGTTCTTCTGTCAATTGCTTTGTGAGATTCAAGGCTCTCTGTGTCTCATACTCCCAAAAATCGGGTTTTCCTGATGCATCCAGGGAGCATGGGGTTTCAGCCTTGACTTGTCGGTTCTGCTGTTGTATCCCATGAATAGGGTGTTGTCCACATAGCCAAGGTAGGTGTACTGGGACTCCACAAAGCTGGGCCAGGTTAGGAGGGTTTGGAAAAAAGAGCATTGTGTGTGAGCCTATGTGAGATGGGCCTTTAGATTCTTACCTTCCTACTGGGATCCCATGCTGGTGCCTGGGGGCTCCAATTGAGGGTCTTCAGCAGGGGTTGGGGGTCAGAATGCAGAATGGAGAAGGGAACAGGCTGGTCTAGCTGGGATGGAGAGGAGACAAGTTCCCTGGTGATGCTATCCTGGGGTAGGAGTCCTGTTGCTGCTCTGGCTTAGGTCCTTTCACTCCACACCAGCACTCACCCTGTTGATATTGGTAGGAGCCAGGTTGGCCAGGAGCAGCAGCAGGAGAGCCTGGGGTGCAAGGGTCTTCATCCTATAGTATGAGAGCAGACCGAGTCTCTGCTTGTCTATTCTCGGTGTAGTCTTAATGTGGAGAAGTCTGATTGGCCTATCTGAGAATTCCCAACAGAAGTGAAACAGACCTTACACATTGGGTCATGGAGAGATGAAAACCTGGAGGAGGAATCCCTAGGACCCTGATTCTTCAACCCAGATTCATCTCCGTGTCCTGGCATCCTTGGAGAAATTTAGGAGGACAAGTGGCATACTCTGATCTTTGTCCTGCTGGCCCTCATCACAACATTCTTCTGTGTCCAGCTCACAAGGCTATTGAGTCAGCAATCCTCAAACATGTCCATATTTTGATGTCTACATAGTTTAGAAATGTATTTGCTCTCCAAGGCACTCCTGATTATGTACATTGTATCAATCCAGGTTCATCGTGTTAGAAACTGAGAACTTTTGAGACATTTCTTTTATGAACACATTAATAACAAAGTGTAGATGAGCAGAGTGTTTACAAAAAGTAATGAGTATTTTCCAAAGCATACTGATATGGTGAAAAGATGTAGACATTTCTGCCTGCTCTTGTCGTCATCGTCACCACTAAAAAATTCCTCAGATTCTGATTCTCCTTTTTAACATCTCAGTTTTATTTACAAATTTCAAAATACAGCTTCTCAGAAATACGTAGATATATTTTTAAGAAAATTTCAGTTTGTGCTTATGTGAATGTTAGTGAGTCAATGTGTGTGGGGGGAGTGCAGTTGTCTCTGGTGGTTACAAGAGGATGATAGAAACTCTAGAGGAAAATGCATAGGAGTTGTGAGTTCCCAGAGTGGTGGACTCCAGCTCTGCTCCACTTTACATACGAGCAATCTCTGCAGGCACTGCAGGGATACTTTTAGTAACATCTTCAGATCATTTCTTTCTTTTGAGGCTGAACTGAAACTCACAGAATTCTACACACATCCTCCTCTCTACTGCTGAGTTGATGCAAATGTTGTGTGTTCTCACATTTCCTAATGTGGGGAACATACACAGATATAACACCCACATTCAGGAGTACCTTTGAGGGCAGATCAATTTCTAAGGTTGTGTAGGCATTCTGACAGCCCAGTGGTCTAATATTGCTGACTTATTGACCTCTGGTCTGTATTTAGAAGGCTTTGTGACAAAGACCAGGGGACCAGTATCAGAGTAAGCAATTTGTCCTCTGACACTGTATGTGGATCCCGGGCACCAGGGCTGTGTCTGAGTTGCAGAGTTAGGGCCCTAGAGATTTCTCTTCCAGGAGTTCACCTTTACCCTTACCCAGCCCAGTTGTTCTCTAACTCGGCCATTGGGAATTCTTAGAGAAGCCAATTAACCTCCTCAATGTCAAGACTATAAAGTGAACATAGACCAGCAGAGACTGTGCTCTTCCCCACCAAGCAGGATATAGACCCTTGAGACCCAGGTACTCTTCCTGCTGCTTCTGGCTGCAGTGGCTCTGACTCAGTCTCCAGAGGGCAAGATTTGGTGTCTGGAGAGAAAGGCTCCAACTTGGAATAGCAAAAGGAATCCATCCCTGCAGGGGCAGCATTACTCATGGCTGTGTCCTTCCTAGCCCAGCCATCACCCTCTGTTTCTGTCGCCATTCTGCATCTTAGCCCTGCTTCTTTCTCCCTTCCCATCCCCACCCAACATGGGTTCCTAGGAGGAGGGCTAGAATTTCACCTAAGGCTGCCCCTAGGCTCCAACTCCTTGCTTTATTTCCAATGCCTTCTGACCTGGCCAAGTTTCATGGGAGAACCAGTACATTTTTGTTGGCTATGTGGACCACACACCATTCCTGAGAGACCCCAGACCTGGATCCCCACTTGCCATGGATTGAGCAGTAGGATCCAGAGCATGGATAGAGGCAGACCCAGAGCCCTGAGACTTGGAAAACACTGCACAGAAGAGCTGAAGAAAGCGCTCCCTATCTACATCCGGAGTGCCACTAGTGAGTGAACCCTCACCAGAAGTCCCAACCTTCCGTGTCACCATTGGGTTACCTTTGGTCACCACTTCTGATATTTGCTGCAGAAAATGACACTGGACACTGTAGAATCCAGCAAACTACAGGACACTAACTGGGTTTAAGTGAAAATCTGACAGGTTAGAGACCGAGTGGATTCTGAGCCCATTCTCTCATAGTTCTGTTGTATTTACAGTGTAGAAAAAATAATTTGCTGGAAATATAAAGGAAGGACATTTTAAGAATTGTTCAAAATTTTTGTTGATATGTATGTTTATGTGTCAATGCATTGTGATATAGAGGGGGCAGTTGTCTGTGGAGGTGGAAGGTGGTGTTAGAAACCCTGGAGTAGGTGGATGCACAGGAGGCTGTGAGCAGTCAAACTCCTGGGATGCCAACTCTGGTCCTCTGTAGGAAAACCAAGCACTTTACAGGGTATCTATCTCTCCAGCCACACTGGGAACTGTTTAACATCTTCAGATGTTTTTTTCTCTTTTTGTGGCTGGCGTGGAACTCACTGAGATCCACATGTGTCTGCCGCCTGAGTTCTGAGATATAAAGCATGCACCACTGACCAGTGTACCTGGAGACTCTTACGTTTCACACGTTACTAGATTGACACACTTACTACCTACATTCATTTCAATGTAATGGGAAACACCATTGACTGCTTCCTAGTGTGCTAAATTGATCCATGTTAATAACAGAGTTTTGTTTATTTAGTGGCTGTTGTATTATTACATTGTACTTTTAAAAAGGACAATATTGTTGACTAAGTTCATTAGTCTCTCAGTGTTCACACAACAAATAAATACGGTCAAATCTCACCTGTTAACATTATCATAAATTTCACCAAATGTTTATGTGCATTAAGAAGTGGTCAACGTTATGGTGAGGAATTCAAGTAATTTCAAACTGGTAACGTTCTTATCGGAGGTCAGAGTTTACCACTTCTGTAGGGAGCTGTAGGAGGGCTGACGGGAATTAATTGATTCACATTTTATATTTTACTAGAAAAAGCAAGATTCCTAAATATGTTTCAATAAACTACAGGGTGGGCAGGGAGAGAGTGTTCTACCCCAGTGTGTGTCATTGACTGCAGGGTCTTATTTTTGGACAAGCATTATTCACATCGGGTCTTTCTTTTTGTGCAGTTATCTGGCATTCTTTTCAGGTGGTTGTGGATAGCCTTTTTGTAATCTGTGAACATGCGTCTCTGCCTAAGATGTCATCTTACTAGTTTATAAAGAGCTTGTTAAGTATTCAGGCATCTGTACTGGCCATCTTTGGGGTTCTGACAGGATAAGCCCTCAGCTGTAGCCACTAAGAGCACAATCTGTGCATATTCACTATTTCCCCCTTTTGAAAGGGCTCTGCTTACTTCCCATCATTCTCTCTCTCTTTCTCTCTCTCTGTCTGTTCCCCTCTCTCTCCCTCTCTTTCCTTTCTCCTCTCTCCTGCTGCTCCTGTCTCCAGAAGCCAGTCTCCCCTTCCCCTTTCATTATCCCTTTCCCTAATATCAAACACCTCTTCTTGAAATCCATCACATGGTATTTTTCTCTGGAGTGCTGCTTTTCTTTTTTTCTGTAGAACAAGAACAGGTCATTCCTTTCTTGAAATGCATAAAATACATCATATTTTCTGTTCTGCTGATATATAATCCAATACCGATTCTCCAGTCACATCAGTTATGAGCATAAAGTATATCATGTAACCTCAAATCTCTAACAGTGGAAGGCTTAAACAAGAATGCATGCCGTAGAATAAGTCTCCTTCCTTTGATGTGACAGCTCAGCATCCATCTCCCTCCCCCTCAAATGGTTTCTTCAGCATCTTAGAGTAGTGAGGATTGGTTTAGTCTCATAACCAAGTTAGAGTGAAGACATTGGCCACTGGCCACATAATACACATGCTTCAGTTTTAAAAAATTTCTGAATCTTGGGAAACTGTTCTCTTGTTAACTACTTTACACTTTCTAAAAGAAGTTATTGTCCAAAGCTGGAAGAAGTTAAGTCTTCTCAGATGAGCATGGAAATGAATGGAAGGAGATAAACAAAAAATAAAATTAAAAAAGATGAGGTCTGATGGGGAGCAGCCAAATAAGAAAATCAAAAAAGGAACAGTAATTTAAAGTTTATTCCCGTTATAATGCAGGTGATTCTGATTTTATGGTAGTATCATATAGCATACTTCTGAGTCTATTCCCGAGATACTCTGTTGTACTTATCTCTGTCTGTTATATAGACCTGTGCAATCTCTGTCACTAGGGGGTCATCTGGGTTTGGTCACATAGCAGTGAACAAATGGATAAAAGAACTTTAGAAATAGTTAAACAGGAGACCACCGTGATCTTAGAATATCAAGACAAATGCTGCCATTACTGTTAATATTTGGATGATAAATTATTGTTGTAAATGCAACCTTAGGTGGTTTGAAGGGGTAGTCTGCAAGTTTGACTTCTCAAATATACTCTTCAATGAGTAATGGAGAATCTGCCAGGTGGATGACTGTGTTCCAGGTCCCGGGATTCAGCTATGAAGAGCAGGCAAACATCACCACCCTGGGATTTTGAAAAGAAGGCTTAGTTGGTAGAAGTGCTAAGTGTTAATACAGTGAACCTGAGTTCATTTCTAATCAAACAAAATGGATCACACAAATCTTCCTGTTACTCCAACCCTTGGAATCAGCAGGAAGGGGACAGCTTAGGTAGAGGGAAGTCTCCCTCATTCTGCATGTCTGTCCCTTCCCATTTCCCACTCAGCCATGCAACAGCTATGCAGCCATGGGAGCAGCCCCAGGTCACAAACCCAAATCCTGGCACCAATATAAGACCAGAACTAAGCAATGACTGTCTGCACACAGATGTGACAAGAGGAGGCCACATCTGCATAGGACCCAAGAGAACGAAAATGGCAAGTTCACTGGGTCCATAATCTTAGAGATTTTAAATGGTGGTCATAGCATGGGTGGTATGACATTGTTTAGAAGTTCCCCATGAGTATACAGAGTATTGTGCTGCATGTCTGAATCC